TGCTTAAGAAGTGCTACCAAATGCAACCGATCAGTAAACACTTTATTTTCCCTGCCCGTTTATAGGTTCCGATAAACAACCCCAATTTAAAGATACGCCATGTCAGCTCTTCGATTTGCCCACCTGAAGTACAAAACGGAGATAACTACGACCTCGTGGTACTTGTGAAATCGGCCGTGTACAACTTTGAGGATAGGCAAAAGTTTCGCAAACTCTATGCGCACCTGAGGAATGACAGCGTCAAGTATCCGTATCGTGTCGGAATAGTGTTCTTTATGGGCTTGCCCTCAAGCGCTCGTGAAAACGTTTTCGAACGCGACGGGTTCAAAATCACGCTGGACGGTCGGGCCGGATACGCTCTCGTCAACCTTACTAGTCGACGTGCCGAGATTCTGACTCGGTTGGAGGAGGAAGTGCGCCAGTATGATGATCTAGTCGTGGGCGATTTCGAGGACACCTACTTTAATCTCTCTCTGAAGATGCATCTCACATTCCTCTGGGCAGCCCGCTACTGTTGCCGGCGTCCCGGCTTCATGTTCCTCGACGACGACATGGCATTCAATGAGAAGCGCCTTTACACTGTGCTGGCTAATCTACCATTTGAGTGGCGACGCACAGTTGCTATTGCGAGAACTCGTCGAACAAGTCGTACAATGCGTCCTAGCGAATCTTCCGGTGACCGGAAGTGGGCACTCACGAAACAGGAAGTTCCATGGCCAGTGCATGCACCCTACGCTAATGGTTACTTCTACATGCTTGGCTACGACCATGTGGCAGATCTGGCTTTGGCCATGTTCTTCACTAAGCCCATTCTCATTGATGATGTCTGGTTGGGCCTAGTGATGCACAAGCTTGGTCTCCAGTTTCAATTACCGGATTGGATAAATTACACTTTGCACCATCAAACCGATGTGACCAAATTTATTGCATTGCCCCTTAAATCACTGCTCAGTTCTTCTGCATAAAACCTGCTGGACCAATGAATGAGAAGTAGACAAATGGCATGATATCCGATCCATGTTCTGTCTTTCTATCCGACGGAAACATTAAAGCATGCTTGACGCTAACGTGACAATTGTACAGTTACTGTTTTTTATCAAATGTGCGCCTATAGAGGGTTGTATGGAAGCTTTGCCGTGAAATTAACATTCCCAAAATCAGTCCTATTTCCTTTGTATATATGTGTTGTATTAATAATTACTATTCACAGTTGTGATATTTATACGACAATTAAGTTCTTTTTTAATCAATAATATTGGCCAAAATTTCTGTTGGAAGATATGTTTATCGGTTTCGTGGGCGAAGTCAGCTGACATTCCCCAAAACGGGTTGCCATGAATTGCTTATAAAGAATGGAGGTCCAGTGTTATCCTTTAATTTCTGTGAAACCTAAGCGCTCTCAGCAGCAGAGATAAACAATGAAGATATGCATTTACATTGCACTTGTGAGGGCAAACTATGCCATAATGCTGCACACACAGCTCATGTTATGAACACAGCATAAAGAAAACAATGCAGAATTGGTCGAAAAGTCCATAAGTATTTTCAGGACATCCAGCATAGCATGCCAACACTGAGATGCAAGGTATGCTGGTGAACCAGCATACGTCTTGGCCCAAGACATGC